CCTCTTGCCACATTGTTTTCACTTCGCTGTCATAAAAGAAGTCGTACTGCTGCCTTCGCTGCCTTTTGCTAAGGCGCGTGCCATTTGTATATGTTTTATTTTTAAACGTGGAACATTAAAGGCGTTGCCAGGAATATATGCTTACTACTGAGAGGGAGAAAAGAATTATATAAATAGCATTAGTCTAAAAACTTAAAGCATCGAATAAGAATATCAACTTCCTTTCTTCATGCTATTCAATTTCTATTATTCCTACTTCAGTTAACCGTCTGCTGTTAACTAACAGCCTTATTTTAGATTGTTTATAACTAACATTTCGTTGTTATGTTAATACCCTACGCATGCCTGTTAATATTACGATTGATTGTCTCCCGAAATCATGAGTTTGTGTAATAGAAAATAGGGCAGCAGAATAAATGAAGTTGAAGTCTGCGAACAATTCTTCAATTGTTTATAATGTATTAATAGCTTGAATGTACATTAACAGCCTAGCGTTAACATTGTCAGTGTTATGCGTTTTACAGTCCTGCCCCAACTTAAAGTGCACGTCAAAAATAAATCAAACGACTGCCTATTAACAAAGAGAATTGGGGGTCTTGTGTGGAAGTTGAACGATGAGATGTTTAAATTTAGAGTGCAGCTGCTTGGGCCGTATATGTGTATCCAACTGAAATTCCTATATAACTCGCCATGTTTGCTGGGGCAGATGTTTGGCAAGAGGCAAAGAACCAAAGAGCCATAGTCTGCCTGCCGGATGAAACATTTCCTTAGTACTTCGTTTACATTTTGGGGTGTGCGGCGTCTTATAAATAGCTCTAGCGAGCTGTCGGAAACTGGGGAGAACTGCTGTGTATAGAATAACCAAGAGAACGGAGCTTCATTACAGAAATGTACTTCAATTGTATTTTATTTTCCAACCAACAGACAACGGAGAAGGTCACGTTGGTACCGTCTGCGAAATTGGACGCTGTGGATCGACACATTCGCCAGAGAACACGGTTGTGGTCAATTGGGATTCCGGACATCGCACCAACTACAGAGTGGGCTATCAAAATCAATACGATTTAATCATTGTGGATAATGCCCAAGTTGGTAAGTGAATCGCTTCATTGTTTCTTTGTTCAATCATCTCTGAATGATGCGTCCGCTCCTTTAAGGTGTTCGTCATTCAAATGTCGTTTGTGATGGCTGCTCCAAGGCGGGCATAGCAGGCATTGTGTTCAAGTGCGCTCAGTGCACGGATTATCATTTGTGTGCCTTCTGCTACGGCGGTAATATACACGACTTGGAGCATACATTCGTGCGATACACCACGCCCAACTCACTGGGTGTTCGTGTGCCGGCAAGGAAAGGTTCACAGCGCATACAGTTGCGTGGTATATTTGTGGGCTCGAAGGTTGTGCGAGGTCCGGACTGGGAGTGGAACGATCAGGACGGCGGTGAGGGTAAAACGGGTCGGGTTATGGAAATACGTGGCTGGGACAACGAATCGTGTCGCAGTGTAGCCAACGTATCGTGGGTAACGGGTTCAACGAACGTCTATCGGCTGGGGCATAAAGGAAACGTGGATCTAAAGTACATAACAGCAACGTGCGGTGGTTACTACTACAAGGATCATATGCCTGTGCTGGGTCAACCCGAGGAGCAACAGCCTATCGTGTCCATGGTGAAGCCAAGCTTTTCTGTGGGCGACCGCGTCAAAGTGTGTCTCGAGGGCGAAGCGCTGATAAAGCTGCAACAGGGACACGGTGGCTGGAATCCGCGTATGGTCGACCATCTCGCCAAGTTGGGCACAGTGCATCGCATCACCGAAAAGGGGGATATAAGGTTGGCAAGACGCAAATTAAAGAATCTCAGTTATTAAATATATAAAATACTTGCAGAGTCCAATATGAGAACTGCCCCAATCGCTGGACCTTTCACCCCGCCGCACTCGTCAAAGTTGTTTCGTTTCGCGTGGGCGATCTGGTGACAATCATAAACGATGAATCTAAAGTGCAGCAACTGCAAAAAGGACACGGCGAGTGGATAGATCTCATGCGCTGTGTAAGAAATCGAATAAGATATAGTGAATCATAATAATGAATGACTAAAACGTCTTGCTTTACATTAGGCTCTGGGCAAACTGTGTAAAGTGCTTAAAGTATATTCCGATGGTGATCTGCGCATCCAGCAGCTGGACGATGGCTTCGAATGGACTCTGAATCCGAAATGTGTTAAGCTGGAGCGTTCTCCTTTGGCCACGGCAGCAGAACGTTCCAATAGTATGATGGATCTGAGCAATCGGCGTACGGATCATGTGATGACACCTCTATCGGGTCTCTCTGGAAGTTCAGTGCCCGACAAGCTGGTCCGTGAAGCGGCCCAGGGTCATTTGGATTTTGTGAAACAATATCTGGATGTCAATCCTAGTCAGGTGGATGTGATGAGTGGCGGCAAGGCCTGCATACAGGTGGCCTCCCATCAGGGCTACGTCGAGCTCGTGAAATACCTCATCTCCAAGGGCGCCAATGTGAATGTAGTGGATAAGGAAGGTGACTCGGCTCTTCATTATGCCGCCTTTGGCAATCAGCCTGAGACGATGCGCGTACTGCTCGAGCATGGCGCCGAGGTGAATTTCCTCAATTCCAGCCACTGTTCGGCTCTGCACATTTGCGCGCATAAGAAAACTCCTCATTGCGTGCGAGAACTGTTGAAGCACAATGCGAATGTTAATATCCAGGATTCGTACGGTGACACAGCACTCCACGATGCCATTGGAAAGGAGAACACGGAGGTCGTTGAACTGCTGTGCAATGCACCAAATTTAGATTTTACTGTGAAAAACCATCGTGGCTTCAATGTGCTGCACCATGCGGCGCTCAAGGGCAACGTGGTGGCTGCTCGTCGCATTCTTCAGTTGTCGCGCCAATTAGTCAACGTGCGCAAGGATGATGGCTTTGCAGCACTGCATCTGGCCGCTCTAAATGGACACGCGAAAGTGGTGGAGACATTGGTCACCGAGGGACAGGCTGAACTAGATATACGCAACAACCGACGACAAACGCCATTCCTGTTGGCCGTTTCCCAGGGACATGCGAGTGTTATTGAACGTCTTGTGAAGCTGTCGTGCGACATCAATGCTAAGGACGAGGATGGTGACAATGCGATGCATTTGTGTGTCATTAAGAGGACCAATTTACAGCAGGCCGCCAATCCCTCGCCCGAAGAGGCGCCCGAAATCTACAAGCTATTCGTCAGCCTCGCCCAGACGAGTGTGCGCACCGTGGATCGCCTGATGTACAGTGTGCTTATCTACCTGTCGCGCCATGGCTGTCGTGTGGAACTAAACAATGCCAATGCCAGCATCTTTGAGTGGATCACTGATCGCAATATACGACAGCTAGTCTTTGGCCAGCAAACGGATGAACCAAATGTGCCAACGATAGCACCAATACCACTGCAGCGGAATATGCAAGCCTTGGACATTGGATCAGCCGATGAAATTCCACGTAACGTTGCTGGCGAGGATGCAGGTGCGACGGTTAGTGCTGGCTCATTAGCTTTACCGCCACCGCCGCCCAAGCCCAGTGAGGCGGCAACCTCAACAGCTGGTCTGCAGCCTTCGCCGGGCAATAAGAAACTGAACTCGGATGCAGCCAGCAGTGGTACATCGCCCCAGATAGCGCCGCGTAAAAAGGCACCGAAGCCTCCGGTGCCGTCGGGATCATCGGAAACATCAGCAGCAACGAGCAGTGAGTCAAGCGGTTCTCTAAAGGCCCCGCTGGTAGGTGCAACAGCAGCTGCAGCAGCAGTTTTGCCGGTAATAATTTCCAACCAGCAGGAGTGCATAGTCTGCAATGAGCCGCTACAACTGGTGCGCTTTGGTATGTTCAAATGCCATTTGTCTCTAGTAATCTTCTAGTAACCATTAATATCTTCTTGTAGAGCCCTGCCTGCATCAGATTGCTTGCGAGGAATGCAGCATACGCATGAAGAAATGTTTGCGCTGTGGGGTTGCCATTGAGCGACGCATCGATGCCAATGGCCGTCAAGTAGTTGGCCATCAATCGACATTGACTGCGTCGCCCAGTGATCAGGCGCGTTTGCCATCGGGCGATCTGTTGCGTTATCTGGAGAACAAGGTGTTGGAATTCGAGGAATCGCATTTTTGTGGAATCTGTATGGAACGGAAACGGGATGTGGCCTTCCTTTGTGGTCATGGCGCATGCTCCCATTGTGCCGAAACATTACGCACGTGCCACATGTGCCGCAAGACAATACTGAAGAAGATCAATCTGTACTGAGCACTTACTCAGTGCACTGTAGCAATACGCAACCAAAGTGGCTTGTATATATACATACATACATACATATATAACATAAAGATGTTAACAATTTAATTATTATCAAGGATTTATGTTGCGTGATAACAACACCAGCTGATACCATCAATCGTTCCAGAGAACTTCATGCATGAATTTACTTTCCAACTTTATTATTTATTAAACACCACCACCACAAATAACAAGAACAATTATTTTGCACGCACACATGAACATGTAAACACACGCACATGCACATACACATGTCTATAGTCTATTAGCCTCGTTTAACGACAACGAAAACCCAACTAAATATGATTAGATGATTAATAATATAAGCATTTTAATTGCAATCGAACGATTAACGAACAACAATTTATTGCTAATGGAAACTACATTTTATCAAGAATACAGAACGTCTAAAACGTTATTAATATAAAACAGCTTAACTTTATAATGCAGGGGTAAGTCGAAAATTTGTATAACAAATCAATTGTAGTAAACCATATCTGGAAAGTATTCGGATTGCCAAGTCAGCTAAATAGTAATTATAAATAAAGAAAATACAAAACGTAACGGTGTTTTACGTATATTTTTGCCATCTAGTTATGCGCGAAATAATACCGAATAAAATACTGCATCCTTTCGATAGAAATTGAGCTCAGCATCGATAACACACAATAATGAGTACATATCGTTTTGGTTAATAGTCGAACTTCAACAGAACGCAAAAGAAAAATACACACGTCACAACTTACTAATAAAAAAGCTGAAACGTGCCGACGCGTGTGTGTAGAGAACTACGGCTATGTCAAAACAATTGGCTGATTATCAGCCAACAAAGTTGCAATTCTATAAGAAGGTAGCGCTAGGTATTTTACTAGTAGCAATACTGCTATCCTTTCCTGCAATATGCCAGAGTCAACATAATCCCAGTTTTAAATACTCGCGCGAAGCAAATGAAAATTTTGATGCCAAAAAAGCACCGCCGGTAAAACACGAACATCACCACCACGATCATGACCATCACGATCATGATCACCACGGGCATGATCACCACGATCATGACCACCATGATCATGATCATCATCATGACCATGGTCATCACGAGCACACAGTGCCTGCATCACTGGGTGAGCATTCGCCGCCTCTTGCTGATAAACATACTGTTATTGTAATGGACTTTTTTCTAATAGATATGAAGAGCATTTGGCTGCACTCCATAAGCTCTACGCTGCTTATCAGTGCTGCTCCCTTTGTGCTGCTCTACATTATACCGCTTGATAATAGCGAGGCGATGAAGCCGCGTCTTAAGGTTTTGCTTGCGTTTGCGTCGGGTGGTTTGCTGGGCGATGCATTCCTACACTTGATACCACATGCAACCCATCCACACAGTCATGGTGAGCACGACCATGATCATGGGCATGATCATTCCCACCACCATCATCATCATCATGAGGATGGCGAGGATGGACATGGTCATGTGCATGATATGAGTGTCGGCCTCTGGGTACTAGGAGGCATAATTGCATTTCTTTCCGTGGAGAAAATCGTGCGTATACTGAAAGGCCCAGGATCGGGAGGACATGGACACAGTCATGGCGCACCAAAGCCGAACCCAGTGGTCAAAGATAAAGAAGCCGCCGATAATAAGAAAAAAACAACGTCAAAATCAGCCAAAACTGTGGCCAAAACGGAAGCCAAACCGGAGGCCAAACCAGAGGCAAAGAAAGCCGATGACGAAGGTGAAGTGGAAATATCTGGATATTTGAATTTAGCTGCAGACTTTGCGCACAATTTCACCGATGGCTTGGCCATTGGTGCCTCCTATTTGGCAGGCAATAGCATTGGCATAGTCACCACCATCACCATTCTGCTGCACGAGGTGCCGCACGAAATCGGAGACTTTGCCATACTCATCAAGTCGGGCTGCTCGCGTCGTAAAGCTATACTGCTGCAGCTGGTCACAGCGCTGGGCGCCTTGGCGGGCACAGCTTTGGCTCTGCTTGGAGCGGGCAGCAGTGATGGCAGCTCAGCACCTTGGGTGCTGCCCTTCACTGCAGGTGGCTTCATTTATATAGCCACTGTGAGTGTGTTGCCCGAGCTGTTGGAGGAGTCAACAAAGCTAAAGCAATCCTTAAAGGAAATTGTGGCTCTACTTACAGGCGTTGCCCTGATGATTCTTATAGCCAAGTTTGAATAATGAATGGAATCGTTTAGTTTCTTAAGTATGGCCCGAATGTACTTCCTGAAAACAAATATGTGGGCATGTAAAATACTTTCTGAAAAGAAGACTATGTAAAAAAAACAACAAAATGTAACTATGAATTCTTAGAAAAGGAATGAAAGAGCGATATTATCATGTGTCTTTAGATTTAATCTTCTAAATTCAACAAACTATTCGTATTTAATTAACAAAGTTAAAATTGTCAGCAGCTGTTCAACCCTTCATGTATGATTTTATTTCATTCAGGCAATACTCGGCTTGTTCCAGGGCATCGGCATTCGAGTTGCTCTTGCCAATCTTCCAAGCAAGCTTACAAAAGTCTTCGGCTTCTGCAAGCAGGCCTTCGCGTAGATAAACCAAGCCCAAATTCGCCTGAATGACGCCTTCCTGGGCGGTATCCTTTAGCTCCTTGGCTATGTTCAGTGCGCGTAAAAGCGTTTCTTTGGCTTCAGCATACTTTTCAAGCTATTGAATAAAATATATACGATGAGAAATTATTTGTATCATATTTTAAATGTGACTTACATTTACATAAGCTACGCTAATATTATTTAAAATAGTGACTGAGGCATCGTTCAGGTATCCGTAGACGTCGACGAGAATGTTCAGAGCCTCTGTGAACAGATTCCTGGCCTCCTCATATTTGCCTTGCTTCATCAGAAGTTGACCAAACCTGCGTATTCGTAAACAATTGCATTGTTAGTCGAATCCTATTCAGTTGAATATTTGGTTTCGGTTTTAGAGGAAGCATGGAACAACCTTCAATACCAGTTCTTTGTCAAACCATATAGCTCCAGTACATCACTATTCTCGGGCATTTCTTTCACTAGTTTGGCCAGCCGTTGCAGCGTCCATTGGAAGCCCTGAAAGCTCTTCACTAGATCGCCCTGCAGCTGTGACATATGCGCTATTTTAGAGCTGATGTGCAATATTTTAGGACTGTCTTCTGTATGGCCATCGGCCATTAGGCGTCTCATTACATCCACAAAGAGGGTTTCGGCTTTTTTGAACTGCTCCCGTTCCATGGCCAGATTGGCCATCACATCGTACACATAGGTAATGCCGTTTGTTGATCGCATATCTTGGGCCATGCGAAGCGCCAAATGTAGCATCTGTTCGGCCTTGTCGTACTGCTCCTTCTGTATGCAGAGTATGGAACGTTTTATGGTATTCACTAGCTTCGTTTCGGGTGTTTCCTCCTCTTTCTCGTCATCGCCAAACAGATTAAAGCTAAACATGGCCGCAAATACTAGTCCGGTGTGAGGATATTTAGATTTTCTTTCAGACTGCTGGTGATGCTGTTGCCTCTGTTGTTGCTGATCCATGTAAACAGAACCCAATGTGCCTGATTCTTGCGCCAGGGATTTGTAGCCTGTGTGCGCTCTCATTGTATAGTTGTGTGGACTGACAACCATGGTCCGCATGAAACGTGTGCGGCACAACACTTGTGCTAGTTTACCAAAATTCTTCACCATCATTTTGTAATGCAATGCATTCTATAATTAACTCGTAATTTTTATGACCAATCCGTTTACTCGGTCGGTCGGTTGGGTTGTTCAGCCCAATTACGAAATATATGTAAGTCAAAACAGTGTTGTAAAGGACGGGCATTTACTGTTTTATGAGTACCTAATGCATTTGAAAAATACAATATTACAAATTAAGATCATAGTAGGTAAAGCAAAAGTTTTACATTAATTTTTAAGTTTCAATTAATATTATTTCTTTAATGCTTGAAATAGGACACATCTAAGGGACTAATTGTTATCGCTGAACCCTGAATTAGAATATTAATGAAACTCAATTAGGTGAAGATTTTTTAATAGTAGTATATCCTGACACTAACCATTTATTTGGTTAGTGATCCAGATAAAGTTCCCTATTTTATTTACAGTACATTAAAAGTATCGATAGTAAGAACATGCGATAGTTTAGAAGCATTGATTGCAACTGAAAAAAGCAACCCTACCTATTGATGGCGGATTGACGCTTTTCGCTGGCAACAAAATTTTCTTTTACGAGTAATCAAAAACGGGCACGCCGCAAATTAAGCAAATAATTGTGCGTGTTATTAAATCGCATACTGCCGACGTTTAAAAATAAGTGCAACAGCATTTTATTTTAGTGTATTATCATCAAAGGCATAAGTGTACGGCACGAGCAGTATTTTTTTAGTTACAGCTATGAGACGTCGTAGCGAACGAAAAAAATCTACATCGCCTGCACCTTTGCCGGCACGTCGCAGTCGCCGATCACTTAAAATATCGGAAAATGAAAGAACTGAGGATGGGACGCTTGTAGAAAAAATAGAAGAAACTAAAGCGCCTCCAATAATTGAAGAAATCAATGAGGAGCGCAGAGAACAGCGAGCGTCAAGCGAAGAACATGCAGTCGCATCGCCAGTGCGCAAAAGCCGCTCAACACGCACGACACCTAAAAAGCGCCAAAGCGCTAGCAGTCAGCGGGAGAAAAGTAGTGAGCGTAAGGTGGAAACCATACCTGAGGAAGTTGAAAATGGCTCAGATGCGCCGGTAGTAGCGGAAGCGGAGACGGATTCTGAAGCGAGTTCCACCAAAAAGAATTCCGATATCGATAAACAAGTATCGGTCGAAAAGGAAATGAGCAAGAAACCCGATGAGCCGCAAGCCGAACAGAAACAGCAGCAGATCGAAGAAAAAATAAAATCCGAAACAGATTCAGCGGATGTCAAGAAAAAGCCGAACATACAGGTAGATGACGAGGAGAAGTGCATGAAGGAACCCAATGATGAGGAAGCGGACGTTGACGGAACGAAGGAAACGGGAAAGGGGAAGGACAACAGAAGTGAGCGTACCGCGGAGGAAGAGGTAAAAGTTGCGTCTTCTTTAAGCTTAACAGCAAGTAAGGATGAAGTACATCTAAAAACCACAAGCGATGTATTAGACATTCAAACAGAGGACATGGAAGAGAGGAATTCTGATAGACCGGAGCCAGACCAAGGGGATCAGCCCAAAGTGGATGACAACAAAACACCGGTTAAAACTGATGAGCCGAAGGAGAATCAGAAGGAAACCGGCGAGCAATCCCTGGAAAAGCAAACTAACAAGGAACATGCAAACAGCGATAATCTGGAAAACGTTACACAACAGCGGTCCGTGAGGAAACGCAAATGGCTGAGCAAAAAAGTGGCCGAACGTGCGCCACCCGTGTTGGCTATATCAACCGATTCACTCAAGAATATTATAGCAGATGTGGTCAATCCAGTGCCACTCAGTGATGTGCAATTGGAGTCATCATCTGAAGAGGAGGGACTCGTTACCAGCGATCATGAAACAGACGAACGATCGTTGACCCCCGAACTGCGTGTCATAAAAGATCGCGATGAGGGCAATGCGACCGATGAGGAACAACATCAACAGAAACCGCAACCAAAATCGAATCATGAGAAGGAATCGGTGCCAACAACGGTGCCAGCTGCAAGTAAAACAGCAATCGAGCCCGCCGTGTCAAAAACTAGTGCTGTCGCCCGATCACCCAGCCCGGCCCGTAATCGTGCCAGCCATGTGCTCTTCATTACCAATTTGGTGCGGCCGTTTACGGTGCTGCAGCTGAAGGGTCTGTTGGCGCGAACGGGAAAGATCGTCGAAGAAGATGGATTCTGGATTGATCGCATCAAGTCGAAGTGCTATGTTGCGTATGAAACAGAGGAGTAAGTCCATTTCCTGAAATTATGGATACTATAATACTAACTCATTTTATTTATATTACAGCGAAGCGATTGAAACCCGTCATGCTTTGCATGGTGTACGTTGGCCAGTGTCAAATCCCAAGTGCTTGAACGTTGATTTTGGCAGTCGCGCAGACATGGATCGTGCTATACAATCTACAAAGAACGAGGCACCTAAATATCCGCAAGACAATACTAGAGATAATCAGAACGCTGGTAATACTTGGTCACGTTTGGATGCAAGCGATAAAAAGGTATGTTTGACACTGGGAATCTATTGAAACATAATTAACCGAAACCTCTTTGCTAACAGCCAGCACGTCCAGTGCGTGAATGGGATGTGGGCAAAAAGGAGCCGAATGAGCGCGACAAGTCAAGCAATGACAGACGTCGCAGCAGTAAGGAACGCGTTGACGCCAGATTGCGTGATTCCGAGCGTGGTAAAGTGGGCGATGAGTTAGAGCGCGGTGGACAGGATCGAAAACGATCACGAGAGCGCGACCGCGGAGGACGCGAGCGTGATCGCGAACGCAGCGAACAACGTGTACATGGACGCAGCAGGAGCGGATCACCAGGTAATTAGTGGCTTAACGCTAGACAAATTAATGTATGCTAATAATTGGGCTCTTGCTCACACACAGCGTTAAAGTCCAGAAAGAAGGAGAATGAGCCACCCATTAGACTATTGGATGATTTATTTCGCAAAACAAAGGCGACGCCTTGTATATATTGGCTGCCTCTGACACCGGAAGCTGTGAGTAACTGGAAATGGAAACTATTCAACTTTTGTTTAATATTCCGTTCTTATTTATATAAAATACCAGATTGCCGAAAAGGAGGCGTTCCGTCAGAAGCGTATTGAAGAGCATAAGCAGCGTATCAAGGAACGTGAAGAGCGCCTCAAAGAGCGCGAACGTGAAAAGGATCGCGATCGTCAGCGAGATACTCGACGCAATCGATCAACCGAGCGTCGGCGTTCGCGCAGTCGCGAGCGGGAGCGACGGCGTTACTAGACAGTAACTAAATGAACAACCGAAATAAAACTAAAACAAAAAAGTCAACTCGACAACAATTTTAAAGCAACAATTAACTAAAAACAAAATCTACAACAAAAAAAACAATGAAAAAGAGCAAGCATACACTGCAACGATAGTTTGAAGTGTTTTTTTCGTGGAAATTCGAACCTTTTACCTTTTGAGTTTAAAATATTCATTTTGAAGTCAAACTTTACTTCAAGTTGAATATATCCCAATCGCTCAACGCCGAAACTTAATGAGATTTAAATTTCTTTCTTTTTCCTTCTATATATACTTATATATCTACATAACTTGATTTAATTTCTTTCCCAAATGTAGCTTTTTACAGTGCAACAGCAACAAGAACTACAACTACAACAACAACCAGAACAACAGGCGACAGTCAGTCAATAGAACGGCGAGAATCGTAGCACACATTGGATATGTCTCTGTCTCGAAGTCCTAAAACTGTAGCCGCAAGTGTTTAAATTCGCCACTTATACATTAATAATTAAATATATACATACATACATAAACAGCAAAATGCAAATTAACTGAATTGTATTAATTGAAATTTTAAAAGAACCTAAATATAACAAAATCACAGAGGGCAAGCTTGTGACAATGCCAAAAATTTAACATCTATCTCTTTATTTTCACACATTGTATACATTGTAATGATATCGTTGGAGTATAAATCTAGATCTGAATCTAAATATATAGTTTTGCTACTTTTAATAGCTGTCTTTAAAATTGTAGTTAAGGTTTCCCAAACAATGCTGGAGATTTCTCAACAATTAATTCTTAATTAATAAGTATTTAACTTTGATCAGTCTGTGAAATAAATAGAATTAAACGTTCGTTTATTAAAAGAAAATAAAACCAAGTTCAACATTTAAAAACGCGCTCCCAAAGTACTCGATGCCTATAAGCAAACAAACATCGATACTTCGTACGGCAATATTTCGATTAGTATAAAGTCGGTCAAAGTAATACTTGTAATCGCTATCGAATTAATTTATTAAAATTTTACATTGGAAGTAAAGAAAAAATGTGGTCCGACACTTTTTTAATTGTATTTATATCAATATGCACGGCATTTTTGGGGGAAGGTATGTATTAAAAAAACTATAGCGGTATGTGAATATAGTTTTAATAATAAATCATCACACACGTATTCATTTATAGGACTTACATGGGTGCTGGTCTACCGCACCGAGAAGTACCAGCGGCTAAAGACAGAAGTAGACAAACAGAGCAAGAAGTGTGAGTATATTAAGTGTGCAGTTTGCGGTAAAGGTTGTAGGCTAATTACATGTCACGTGATTTACATTTAGTGGAACGACGTAAGGAGACACACGGCGACTCTTTGGATAAATCGGTAAAGAAGAAACTTGAACGTTACGAGGAGAAGTTGAAGAATAACAATCGCGACTTATCGCTGGTGAAAATGAAGTCCATGTTTGCAACTGGATTTGCATTCACCGCCTTGTTGAGCATGTTCAATAGCATTTTCGATGGTCGTGTTGTGGCCCAATTGCCGTTTACTCCCATCTCCTGGATTCAGGGCCTGAGCCATCGCAATTTGTCGGGTGATGACTACACTGACTGTTCCTTCATCTTCCTCTATATCCTCTGCACCATGTCCATCCGTCAAAATATTCAAAAACTGTTGGGCTTTGCACCGTCGAGAGCGGCTAGCAAGCAAGGTGGTGGCCTCTTTGGCCCGGCGCCAGGTCAATTTAAATAGTTCGACTTTTTGTTTATTGATTTTTTCCTAGCTAAATTTTGGATTGGATTTTTCTTTAAAAGGCCACATACAATAAATTACATTTTAATTTAAAGCATTAAACTCATACATGGGTTTGTCAACAATAAGTCGATCAAATCCTAACCGAGACAAGTCCAATGTGCGGAATTGTCCGTCCATAATGAGTTCAGAGATGGCTCGACCCAGTGCTGGGGTCTGCTGTATGCCCTGCCCACTGAAGCCGCTGGCAATGTATAGATTATGATAGTAAGGATGCGGTCCCAAGATACCATTATCGTCGTACACGTTGTAGTCGTAAAGGCCGGCCATGCTATTGACTACCTTGGCGTTCACGAAGGCGGGCACACGCTCGATCAGCGCGGGAAGAATATTCTCATTGAAGTACGTCGGATCCACGTCTAAATTATCGGAACTCATTTTTTCGCCAGGTAACGCATTGTGCCCGCACACGTAGTCGCCGCCCAAGCCCACTCGACGGATATAGGTGCCTGTCGTTGCGTCCACAACCATGGGCATTGCCATGCCGGGAGCACTCTGATCCTGGGTGTTTATCTTGTACATGTAACGCTTGCGAGCATCTATGGGCAAGGGCAGATGCAGCACTCCTTCGCCAAGGCCAATTCGTGCTAGGCGTGCTACATCCCCACTTTTTATGCCCGCTGCGATGACGCATAGAGCGAATTTAATGGAGCGCTTCGCCCCACCTGGCAGCTGGATGATCACCTTGTCCAGGCTCTGATAGCCACCCTTCTCGGAGTTAGTTACTATAATATCGGCTTGGCTTACAAACTCAAAGGCGACAGCTTCGCCATGCACGAAATGCGCGCCATAGCCTTGGGCAGCCCGTTTGTAATTGGCTAGGAGCGCCCAGGGATCAAACCAACCTTCACGTTCCTGCCCATAACAGCCGAGCGCGATGCCTTTGGTGTTTAGCCAAGGAAACTTGGAGGCCAAGCGATCTTTTGTAAGCAACTCATTGCGTGCCCCGAGCTCGTTTTGCAGCTGTGATGTCTGCTTCAGCATCTCCGCATCCTCCTCACCGGCAAGCACAAGATGTCCATATGGCATATATTTAATAGGTATATCGGTGCCAAAGTGTTCCGGCGCTTCGCGCAGAAAATCCGCAGCAAACAAAGACATTTGTATTGTTTCTGGCAATGCGAAATGATGGGACAGCCCATTGATGGACACACGAGTTGCGGATTTCTCGTGCTGAAATTAAAGCGAAACTGAAATGTTTTCTGAATACATTTTTATCATCAATCGGTCCATACCTTGATATCCTTTTCAACAACAACTACATTGAGACCATCGCGCGCCTTCTGTTTGAGCCAATAGGCAATGGAGCTGCCCATTCCTCCCCCTCCAATGATGAGGACGTCGCAATGTGTTGGGAATTCATCGTTGCTGCCCTTGTCACCGCTAAAGTTAAATTTATTGCTTGTAGCTATAGGCTGGGGCTTGTTCTCACTATCAAATTGATCTTCTTTGGGCACAAAGAACTCCTTAATCTTTCGCATATCCTTGCCTAGCAGGCGAAATGTGCGACGTATGGGATGCAGGTCGTTTGGGTCATCACCGCCGGGCGGTTTCGAACCAGTGGAGTGAGGACGTAGTAGTGGAACCTGAATCTGACGTATAACATGTCTGCAACGTAGCATCTTTCTGACCACGAGGTAGTAATTAAGACTATGGTTTATTTTAATTCATTAAATGACGATTGTTATGCTATCTCATAACGTTCAAAGGAAAACAGCTGATGAAAGTGGTTCTGATTAGACTTACTCGTTGCGCTGTTAACTTAACACTAGGCTAAAATGTTAATAACAGTGTAAACAGCTACTTGTGTAGCTGTAATTATAAAAATTTATACAACAAAAATTGCCTGAGATTTTACATGCATTGAAAAAACAGCATGTTTACCTTATGTTTCTTTGAGCAATTTTTGATGAAAAAAAATAAATATTTACTAAAAATTTTATGGCAACCATATCACAATCAGTATCGATAATTGTAGCGTCAGAGTAAAATGTAAATTGCTTGTCAAAACTATCGTCCACCACTAAAGTCTGGCATTACTTGGCAATTTTGTATGCCGAGTTCAGGAAAAATATTAATATTAAAACAAACAGTAATTATACGTAAATTGCAAGTGCTTTAAAAATGGCAACAGTCGCTGTTGATACTGTCTCTCAAGACATCGAGATGGAGGTAGACGCTGCTGCTGAAACACTGGCAGACGAGAAGAAAAATCAAGATCTCGCTGCCGTACAAGAACTTCGCGAACAAATACGCCAAATTGAAAAGTCCGTGTCCTCTAAGGAACCACGGTAAGTAAAAAATCGAGGAAGCTATATTACCCTGCGAAAATCCAAAATTATATGTAACAAACTTCCCAATTTAGTTTCATTCTCCGCGTGCTACGCAATTTGCCCATTACTCGGCGCAAATTAAACGGCGTCGTATTCCGGAACCTGGCTCAGAGCATTTATCCCGTTGGCGCTGACCGCGAGGCGGCGTTGGCGCTCGCGCCTACACTCGAAAAAGATGCAACAGAATTGCCTGATGTGCCCAAAAAGCAGGTGGCGACAAAGGCTCCCATTGCTGAGGTGGATGCGTACTATTATTTACTGTTGCTAGTGAAATTAATAGATGCTGGAGATTTGAAGCGAGCTGGCACTTGTGCGGATGCGTTAATGTCGAAAATATCGATACAAAATCGTCGCACATTGGATCTTATTGGCGCCAAGTCATATTTCTATTACTCACGCGTGGCGGAGCTGAACAATGGACTGGAAGGGATTCGTTCCTTTTTGCATGCCCGCCTGCGCACTGCGACGCTGCGCAATGACTTCGAAGGACAGGCCGTACTGCTCAATTGCCTGCTGCGTAACTATTTGCATTATGCACTGTACGACCAGGCAGACAAACTGGTCAAGAAGTCGGTGTATCCCGAGTCGGCCAGCAACAATGAATGGGCACGTTTCCTCTACTATTTGGGTCGCATCAAGGCCGCCAAGCTTGAATACAGTGATGCCCACAAGCATCTGGTGCAGGCGCTGCGCAAATCACCACAGCATGCCGCTATTGGATTCCGCCAGACCGTACAGAAACTGATCATTGTCGTGGAACTGTTGCTGGGCAACATACCGGAACGCGTGGTGTTTCGACAGGCGGGATTGCGCCAATCTCTTGGACCTTATTTCTCGCTCACACAGGCAGTGCGGCTGGGTAATCTGAAGCGCTTTGGGGATGTGGTCTCACAGTTTGGGCCCAAATTCCAGATGGATCATACATTTACGTTAATCATTCGTCTCCGCCACAATGTTATCAAAACGGCCATTCGCTCCATTGGACTCTCCTACTCGCGCATATCGCCGAAAGATATAGCCAAGCGTTTGATGCTCGACTCGGCAGAGGATGCCGAATTTATCGTGTCCAAGGCTATACGTGATGGTGTTATTGAAGCTACCTTGGATCCCGAGCAAAATTATATGCGCAGCAAGGAGAGCACCGACATATATAGCACACGCGAGCCCCAGTTGGCTTTCCATGAACGCATTTCGTTCTGCTTGAATCTGCATAATCAGAGCGTTAAGGCCATGCGTTATCCGCCCAAGTCCTATGGAAAGGATTTGGAGAGTGCTGAGGAGCGACGCGAGCGGGAACAACAGGACCTGGAGCTGGCCAAAGAGATGGCCGAAGATGACGAAGACGGTTTCTAAGCACTATTTGTGCACTTATTTTCATAAAGATATATTAATTTTTCATAGATGTGTGAACGATTATCATAATAAAATTAATTACCGAAATTTGTAAACCTAGATTCTGTATTTGTTTTAATATAATATTTTGAAGATTTGCGGGTTGGGCCCTTAAATATGAGTTTTTTGTAAGCGTTGTTTATTAATCGCAATATCGAATTGAACCGTCGTTAAGTAAGCGATGAAAGAGTTGTTAAACTATTCTAACAAAAAATTTGTAACATTTATTTTTTATACTTATTATTATTGAAATATTCATTCTTAGCAATCATTAATGACTTTTGTATTGTATAGCCTTTATAATTCTATTTTAATTTTGATATTTATAAGTATATCAAAACTATTCACAATAATAGGTGGCGGTACTGCACTATCGATATAAAGATAAGCTGCAAATGTGAAATATATCGAGCGTTTGGAAGCATCGATACATCTTTGCAATATCAACAACCCTATCTAGTTGCATTATTCTTGGAGCAGAAAGCAGAAAATTTTTGTGAAAACACCACGCAGCGAAATATGTAAAGTTCGCAAATGTAAAAAGTAACTAAAAAAGAAGAATCAAACTATGAACTTGCAAATTGTGTTAATATTGCAATTGAAAAGTGCATGTGCGCGTTTATTGTAGAAATACTACATGCAAGTAACCAGCAGCCACAGCATTCTGTGGCAGCGACTCGTCGTCCAGTAGCAGCGAGTAAATTGTGGAGTCTCTCTGGCCACATTGGTGGACTAGCGCCCGCAAATGTATGCGACAAACTAGTAGTGGGCAGCAGCAGCAGTCGTTGTCGTCTTTGTGAAGCATCAATCGCGAAAAAGCAAAGGAAACAAATAAACGCCAAAACAACAGAGTGAAAAAAAAACGTGCGTAAAAGTTAATTAGCTGCCGCCAAGCAACGAGCAAACGCAGAAGCGAGTGGAGGAGCAACAGCAGCAGCTGCTGCTCTATACAAATCGACAATCGACATTATTGTTGTTGTTATTATTATTGTTGTTGTTGTGGTTTTTGCACCCACCACACGTAACTAGAGCAGCAGCCACTATACACATACATACACACAGATACACTAAAACACATACACATATACACTAACATACACAGAGACAAGTTCACACACACACACACACACCCCTACGTATAAACACTTTAGGCTAGACTTCGTAGTAGATGCGTGCGTGCCACAACAAAATTGGAAATGATTTGTCCAAAAGACGTCCTGCAGTGGTTTAAGACTCTGGAGAGCTATAATCGCATTGATACCATGTGTTCATTGTTCGAGGCCTGTTTGCCGTTTGAGTTGCGGTTTCTGGGCACATTTTTGGAGGAGCTGGGTCGCAGGGATTCACCGGAATTGCGTGGCATGGAGCTGCGCGCCAATAATCCACAGGATCTGGCCGCCGATATGCACAACTGCCAAAAGGGCGAACCAACAGACAAAAAGATCCGCCGCAAGATGGCGCTATATTTAGCGCTGATACGTGCCTGTAATCGAAATTGTGTGACAGAAATATTTCGCACCCTCGAGTGTTGGGGCGACCGCGATTTTGCCAGCATTAACGATCAGGATACGATCCTGGAGCTGTTGCTCGTCTACACAATGGCTGCCAAACATCCTGTCTTTTCTTACCACCAGAACACCAAATGCGGCGAAATTCTGGCCAAGATTAAGGAGATCAGACGTATGACAGACGAAACGACACAAATGATGAGCCAGCAGCAGCAGCAGCAGTCGTCACAGCAGCAACAGCAACAGCCGTCGCATACACAACACTTGCTGCATCAGCAGCAGCAGTCGCAGCCTCAGCCACAGCCACAGCAGCCGCCACCGCCTTTCCATCATCCAGTGGTGCCAATGATGCAGCCACAGCAGCCAACGCCTCTGCTGTATCCACAGCCTTGGACCAAGGTAACAAATCCATTGCCCATAAGGTTATGCCCGATCGAAAGAGATTCCCTGGTAGTCTGTTATGTTATCTATATGAATTGCCAAATAGAGTAACTATTTACAATTTTTCCTTGATCCTTCGCAGATGATACCCGGCACAGACGTGGACAGCATACAACATTTGATGCAATCCAACATCACCATTCCAACGGACTCGAATGCCATTGCTGCGGCAGCGGCAGCGGCGGCGGCGGCAGGCGGCTGGTCCATGCGCAACTCAGTGCCGTGTACAGTGTATGCAGTGCCGCCTCCACAGCCACAGAGCCTGGATCTTCAGGTGCCGCCGCAAGCCAGCTCGCCCATGCTAAGCAGCCAGCAGTCATCGCCGTCGACCAGTCGCACCACCAGTCCACAGCGTGAGCGTGGCAGCAGTGCCCCACTGCTGCAGCAACAGCAACAGCCACAACAACAAATGCGCAGCTTGCCGTTGCGCTTGCCGAACAGCGTCAAACATTCGCGTCGACCCTCTGTGGAGACAACGCCACCGCCATCGTCTACGTCCGTTGGCAGCGGCGACGCTAAGCATTTTGATGAGGTGGGTCCTATGAATCATGCAATCAATAACAGCGAAGTAATGGATAAATATGTATTCCTGATCAGCGCTGGCTGAGTATCAAATGGATTGTCGTTGCTTTGTTTGTGTGTAGATGTTTGTTGCCCAGAATTGATTTAGGTTTAAGGTAGAATAATAGGGATTTTAACGGAAATTTAGCAATGGCCAAAGATTATTTGTTGAACAGAACTTTGTGTCAACAGTTTCATTTTATACTGAACAGCGCTGACCTAGTTTATTCGAATTGCTGTTGCCAAGCTTATCTGTAGATATTTTTGTTCGCCCGAAATTCATCTTGGTGTAAGGTAGTGTAACTAGAGATGATAAGTGAAATTTTCTTTTAATTCCATCAGATAGAAAGGTTTTTGATTAGAATACTCTTATTTAGTAGTAGCAAGAGAATATTATTCTTTTAACTCTATATGGGTATAGAGGATAGGAGACATTAATAGGACCTTTGAAAATGGTCACAATGAGGGCTGCGTATAATTTGTCTGCAAATTTAATCAATTGAAATATTTGTGCTATTTGTTTAACAAATCATCAAAAGAATACTTAATAATAATATATGTTTGTGCCTATATGATTTCAGGGTATCAGCGAAGGCGGCGGCAACCCAGTTGGCGCCAGCTTGTCTAGTATTATACGCAACGCAAGCTATCCGCGTGTCTCGCATCAGCGTATGAATGCGAATACATATATACCACCTCACCAGCAGCAGCAGCAACAACAACAACAACAACAGCAGCAGCAGCAACAGTCGCCGGTAAGTCAAGATTCACAGCAGCAGCAGCAGGCGCAGCAGCACTATCAGATGAACAGCTTCATCAAGGCGAACACACTGGTCCACACGATGCATAATATGCACATAAACGAGGATGGCAGCGGCTCGACGAGAATGAGTTCGAGTAAAAGTGCGGCAACTACGAGCAGCGAATCGGGTTGCTCGAATGGCTCTTGCGGCGAGACAACGCCACCGGAAACGCCCACGCCCACGCCCACGCATCCCAACCATTCAGTGGGCATTGGTTATCAGCAACAGCAGCAGCAAAAGCCGCATCATATTAGCAATAAGCAGTCTAGCCTACAGCATCGTCTCAACGGGCGCAATGGCGTGGAGAAGAGCTATCAGCAAATCTATACGCCGAGCAATCCCAGCGAGCAACAGCAACAGCAGCCGCTGCTCATGAGTCCCTCTGCTGTTAGTACGCCACCGACACCTGTGCTGTTGCAGACGCAGCAGCAGTCACAACAGCAGCAGCAGCAGCAGCAACAACAGCAGCCACAACAGCAACAACAGCAACCACAACCACCGCCAACAGCGACAGCGTATAATGCACCAACATATCCATATCATGCGGCAAGTGGACGTGGACCGCAGCCAGCATTGATAAAACCACATCATCCGCAGCCGCCGCCACTTGCGCTGCACAACTCCATACGCGTTCATTACCAGCCTAACGGGGACATCATCTTTCCGGGCTATCATCCCGGGTTGACGTATCCAGTGCCCGTTACAGCACCGCCAGCTGGTGCGCCCACAGCTGTGACGGCGGCCCAATTGGTCCGCAATACGGCGCCCGTTGCCAGCACCAATGCAGTCACAGTGCAAACGCAAACGCCCGCCACACAGCCGCAGCCGCAGCAATTGCTCGCGACGCCAGTTGCGCCCACGCCGTATGCGACGTTAGGCGTTTGCCCCATAACTGGAGCGAGCAGCGCAGTGACACCGAAGATCATCTCCTGCTACAACTGTGGCTCCCAGACGCACATCGGGCGCGATTGCCAGGAAGCGTCCATGGAGGATGTGACGCGCAGCGCCACCTACAAGCTGGACTTCAGTACGACTAGCAACTCGGGCAGCAGCATCGATGGCGGCAACCTAAGCGATCACAAGGAGGTCGGCAGCATGCTGAAGAATGTGCCAGCGACAACGCCAACGGCGACAGCGGGAGCAGCATTGACCAGCATGGGCAAATAAGCCATGTATAATACACACACACAGATAAATATTTATATGTATTTACATATATATAAATAATTAATATATATATATATAATTAATTAATATACTTATTGTAATTCTTAACTACTTACACAATTGAACATTTATAACGTTTGTAAAAGTGCGGAAATCAAATTTCACGCCTTTAGCCACGTCTCTTAGTTATTTAAGTCATTTTTGCAAATTGCGTTAGCCAGAACAAGTCGCCTAAAATTAAACAAAAAAAAGAAACAAAATCGAAATGCAAAAAAAAAAAAAAAAAATATTATAAACAATTAACAACCTTGCACACCACAGGGAAATTATGCAGATAGTAATTGTAGTTATATATACATACATATATATTCTATATATATATAAATTATACTATATCTACTGTATAATTGCGCGTACTATACGAATATTTCTACCATTTAAGTTATACGCAAAACAAATAGGCGAAAAACAAAAACAATACAATGACGAGCAATAGACAACAAACAATTTACATTACTCTAAAATCAATGCAATGAAAAACAAAAACAAAAAACATAAATTAGTTAAAGCAGCTGTTAAACGTAGTAATTATCAAAAATATAATTGAATTGATATTTGCATGGAGAAGGAGTAAGAGGTAGGAGGTAGGAGTAGGAGTAGGAGCTAGGAGAAGGACTTCACGCTCTGTGTGTGTTCGTTTGTGACATAAGAAATATCCATTTGTAATTGCGATAAATAAACTAAATAATTTGTAAGCGCAAAAACCGAGATAAGAATTAATAAATGCAAACTTAAGCAGAAAGATAAAAGATAAAAGCGTGTAAAACAAAAATGTAGCATTACAATAAAATGTTAGCGAATACCTTATAAAATGTGTATAAACAAAATGAGCGTAGTGCACCATCCACACACACACACACACCCCATATATGTATACACGCATACATACACACACACACACAGACATACTCCCACTCGCCCACGCACACCTGAGAGAGGGTGCAAGCGAGAGAGTTAATGTGCTTAGTTAACGTTAACTATTAATCTAATTATTATTAAATTTATTCATACTAGTAATTATTTATTTTATTTGCTGCTCCCTTGTTTAAACAGATTTCAGCATTGGATTTTACATTGTATTATATAGATTATATATATGTATATTTATATGAATATATATGACTATATACCAATACACACACACACACTCTACATTTTATTGAATATGGCGTATATTATGTATAAAACGCGTTACTTTATTTTATATATAAATATATTTTTTTTTTATAAATATATTTAATCTCTTGACCATAAGCAAAAAAAAAAGAAATATACATATATGTCTTTATATATAGCATATGGCCAAGTTGAGATTTATGTAATGGCTAAGACCACGCCCACAATTAGAACATGATTGCCTGCGTTTTTTCTTGTTTTGGTTACGTTATGTAAAAAAGTTGTTACCTTTTTTATGGAAGCAAAAAAAAATCTTATATAAACGGAATTAAGAAAATGCAAAAAAAAAAAAATACATATATAAAATCTTAAAAATACAAATCAAGCAACAAAACGAAAAAATGCAAAATATTGAAATGAAATGAAATATATTATTAAAAGAGTTTCTGCTAATGCGTAAGTGCATGACAAACGATTATTATATTTCAGTGAAAAATAATAAAAAAAAAAAACAAATTGTTTCTTAAATTCGTGTAAAAAAACACAAAACTACAAAACAAATGTATTTATTTCCTTCGCCTCCATTCGCATCATCCATTCTCATTCGACTCTAAAATACCTTGAATATGCAGATATAGATACTATATGTAGTATATCTATAAAACCTTCCCTCCATTCATTGTTATTAAATTGTGTGTCAATTCCGAATGGCGCTCTATGTAAACGAACACCCAGCTTATGTACATACATAGATATATGCGTAGGTATACCTGTATGTATGGATGTGAATACTTTGAGGCAAACAGTGCATGGTGAGTATGGATCTTGAGGGCCTCTCTCTGTCTGTCTCCCTCCCACTCCCACTCTCTTGTTTGAGCTTAGCATAAACTAAACTCCATTTAGAGTGCACGTTAAATATACATACTTGTCGAACTGAGCAGGCGTCCAGTCTTTAAGTACAGTGAACATTGGCTAAAATGAATTTAAATTAATATCGGTTTATCTATATGCTGTTTGCAGTTCATCAAATATTTTCTGCAAACATAAGACTAGATCTTGGAATATTCATGAATGAATATATATGTGGATATTATTTATATATGTATAAATGTATATATATGATTCTAATATTTATAAAATTTTTAATATATTTTTATTTTTATATTTGTTATAGTTTTAGAATGGAATTGCTATTTTATAGTTTTATTATTATGTATATATTTTTTGTACTCTTAGTTATCTTTAAGTTAAGTGAAATGGTTTTTATATTAGCTTAGGCTGAGTTCATTCTACCGCGAGTTCACTGTTTGTACGGATATAAGAAATAATTGTTGCGCCAGAGCTCTCGTATGGCACAAGCACAATCCAAAATGTTGCTCAGACATCATATCATCGTATTGCAGCGAACCCATGGAAAAGGCATATATGAGAATGGAGCAGTGGCCGGAGGGAGGATGAGAGCGGGGTGGGGTGGCCGGCGAGAGGGTTGGAGGCAACCGTGGCGTTCTCTCAAGCGTTACAGTTTTGGCTTGTTGTAACGGCAAGTCGTCTTCAGTTGTGCATAGACCTGGATCCGGTGTGGATTGTTGTGCCGCAAGAAGAAGAGCTACGAAGCCAACAAGAACTCTAAATTATTGTCAAATCTAAAGTCAATTATAGTATTGTAATTGGGGTGTACTTCACATCTAGTTCTAGCCCCATTCATTAAAATTTTTTCATAATATTTTGGAATATTCGCGGTCTTTTGGACAGACTTCGTCAGATTTTCGGCCGTTTTGGTTTTTCTGTTTGGTGTTTACTCATGCATGCAGTGTGGTAAGTTGTTGCCATTCGGACCTCAACTCCGCCCACGTCGTAGAGTGTTAACGGAAAAACTAAAGGAAAATACCAATAAAGTGAACGAAAACGAAAACAATGCTTAAGGCCGTAAAGAAAACGACGGAGGTAAACAAATCGAAATTAAAAGTTACGGCTAGTAATGGCGACGAGAACAACAGCAACCACAACAACAACAACAGCAACAACAACAATAACAACAATGAAAACAAGAGCGCCTCCGAACTGACCATAAAGCACGGCTCCATCTCTGGCCAAAATGCAGAAGTCGCCCCAAATGAGAGTCCCCCATTGAAGAAGCTGAGCCTGAAGGGCAACCAACTGTGCGGCAGCATTTTAATAGGCAATTACAACGTAAGGGTCCAGAAGTCGTATAACTGAACTAATACAGAGTATGACTATATCTTCTCTTTCTCTGGGCAGTACCTGACCCAATTGGAGGTGTGCGAGAACGAAATGGAAGTCTTGGACCTGAGCACCTTGGCACAGTTGGAGACGCTGAAGTGCAGCCGCAACAAGCTGATTGAGCTCATCATAAATGGCACCAGTCTGCAGACCCTTATAGCGGATCATAACTGTAGGTATTGCGGTTGATCTGAATGG